CTCAATCTCTTCATCCACCAAAGTGCAAGTGTGGAAAAGCATGCTCGATGCAAAGTTGTTGTGATGGCGGTGAAGTTGGACGCCGCTACTGGCACTGTATGAACCAGTTGTACAAGGTTCCCGGCGAACCTATTTGTGATTTTGAGGAATGGGTTGATGAACCATGTTATCAGGAATGCTACAGAGAACAACTGCAGTATCTTCATAATGTGTGTTTAAGACAATGGGAACAAAAAAGAGAAAGCAATAGAATTATTGCAGACTTGAGGGCGAAACTGAAGGAGGTGGGAGAAGCACAATGGAATTGTGAAGCATAAAAGGAACGTAAAAAAAATATAAACGGGAACTTGCGGAGGTGAAGGCGAAACTAAAAGAGGTAGAAGAAAAAGAACAACTGGAAGAACGATTTAAGTGGTTGGAGCGGAGAATAAATGGCAATCGGGGCTAAACATTGGCATGTATGTGTTTAGTGTATTTTTCATATTTCATGTAATTTTATTATGTTGGCCTGCTATATTTGTGTTTGTGCTGTAGTAATGTTTTCCTTGTTTGTTGTACGAAATTTTATTTTAATTGAAGTGGAAGTTAAGTTTAAGTGTTTGTGTTGTTATATGAAACTATCAAACGAATGGAGAACTAAAAAAAGTAATGGGCATATTCGATTAAATATTGTTGTTAATGTATACAAAAATATTATTTACACCAAATAAAAATAAAAAGGAAGGCCGAATCAATGTGTCCCGCATCCGTTGTGTCTCAATGCAGCCGTTGGCCTGAGGCGCATCCCCTCCCGCCCGGGTACGCTATCAGGATCATCATCATCAAGTCGTCTCTTTATAGCCGGATGCAGCGCAGGATGACATGTATCGGTGGTGCTGTCAAGTCCAGTATCCATCATCGTGTCTGGATCCTGAATGTAGTCATCTGTCGCAGCATCGCATGAAGCCTTAAAAAGGAAATTAATAAAGTTAAAGAAAATAAATAAGTTACAGATAAAAAAATTCAAATTCAATACTAATAAAATCATACCTGCGCATGTGATGTGGAGCCATAACTCAGTCGGCGCCCACTATAAAAATCTCGGGGCGGTCGATCGTCATCAGTGGTAGACGGGCCTGGGAAGTATCTACCCCAATCCACTCCTTGAATATCCGAGCCCGTGATCAATAATTGACCCGATGGGGTAACCTGCGATGGCACTAAAGTGCGATAAATTCCAAGGCTGTAAGACGGCATGTCCGTCTCATGCATGCCACCTGCCATATCAGCAGCAACATCATCAGCAGGAGCCTCAAAGCCCCCTTGCTGGGGACCACCTGCCATATCAGCAGCAACATCATCAGCAGGAGCCTCAAAGCCCCCTTGCTGGGGACCACCTCCTCTCCGCCCACGACCAGCTCGTCGGGCACCACCAGCTCGTGGGATACCACGACCTCGCTGGTACGTGGTTGGGTCAATATAATCAGCCTCGTGTGCCAAACGCTGATCCGATCGTGCTCGCTGCAGTGTCTGGGCAGCCACATCCATGAATCGACGACTATACTCCTCCATGACCACAGGATCGTGGACATAACTCTGCATCTGCTGCCCCATACGATAGACGGTATGCAATCCAATCGCCTGCACAAAGTAATAAATATAAACTACGTATTTGGCACTAAATTACAGGTATATAATTAATAATAACAAAAAATATACCAGGGCCTCGTGTCTCCCGGCGTATGGGACGTACCGACCGTGTGCCCGATGAACTGGGTTCCCTATAAAAAGTCGGGAAACAGTGCGGTACCATGCCATATAACGTTTAATAGGAAAGTGCTGCGGAGGTGGGGTCAATTCCCCTCGCCTATCCCAAATACCCAACTGCGCGTTAAGCCATGCCATAAATGTGTCGTCCGCCCTGGACCGATCAACCCTCTCATAATGTAAAGCATGCCATGCAGGCGAAGTCGGTATAGGCTGCGGCAGGCCAAGCTGACGAAATACCCACTCTGAGGCATGATGCTCGACAATATCGAGGCATGTGAGCGGGACAGAAGCCCTCCAAATATGTCGACCAAACGTGCAATACGTTGGCAGGGTACCTATCACCTCATCGATGTACGGCGTCCAGATGAACTATCAAATAAGAACACAAACCGTTAGTATGCGCAACACTAAGTTAAACAATAACTGGTAAGTTTAGTTAGATATTTACCTGTGCGTCCTCCAGCAAATCCAACACATCTCTGCAGAGGGGGAGATTATGATAGGCATCATACTCACGTGCAAGTCTACGACGCATAACCCACCTATGTGCTAGAGGGAGATGCGGAATTTCTACATTAGCCGGTAGCTGTGGTAGAGGTGGCCGAAACTGCAGATATCGCTCCCAGACCCAAATCTAACAGACAAAGTTGACGTAAAGTAAAAGATTAACTATAACTAGGTAGAATTGTAACTAATGGACATATTATTTGAATATGTTGTCACCTATAGAAGCGGCAGAAAGCCACAAACGTCTTTCTGTGTGTCGATGCAAGCACTGCACATCTGCCTGTACAAATATGAGATGACAGCACCACCCCAGCTGTAGCTGGTTGTATCCTCGAACCGGGTAATATGATGCAGAAAACGGAGGCTCACTAGGTTCCCCGAAGTGTTCGGGAACAAGACCCCCCCAAATAGAAGGAGCAACAGCAGCCTCGTATATCGCTGTACATCCACCTCCGCTGACTCGTCGGTGATAGTATCGTGGATATGCACCAGGTGGTCTCTAATGGGGACTAACTGTATACGACTAGCCCCAGAGGCTACCTCCTCGCTCGCCGGCATGAAACCCGTGAGCATGTGCAGCATATCCCAATATGCCTGCCGCGAATAATATCTCATCGCCGCAGGCAGTAAAACTGGCAAGCCATCAGCGGACAGGCCATATAAAATCTCAGCATCCTGGAGTGTGATGGTGGCCTCGCCAATGGGCAGATGGAAAGTGTGCGTCTCCGGTCGCCACCGCTCAATCAAGGACGTGATCAAAGCATAGTCGAGCTGTATCCGGCCAATGCTAATAATCCTATATAATCCCATCTCCTCCAGGTAATGGACCACGCAGGGATGTAGAACGCGAGGAGGACTCAGAAACTCCCACAATAGATCCACTCTCCTGGCCCGGGAAGTCTGCGTAAGCAACTGTCTGTCCCATATATACTCTGAACTATGCTGGGGCTGTAGGGCTAATAGATCCGACGTCCGAGGGCCGGGATGTATAGTCGCATCCATGTCGTCAACTGTAAATTCATATTTTTTTAATAACTTAATTGTAAAAATTATATACATATATATATATATACATATATATATATATATATATATATATATATATATATTGAGGCACAGTGGCACCAAACTATCATTAATAATTATTTGTTTTTTTATAATTTAAATTCATATTTTTTAATAACTTAATTGTAAAAATTATATGTATATACATATATATACATATACATACATACATATATATACATATATATACATATACATACATACATATATATACATATACATATATATATATATATATATATATATATACCTATGGGTTCCATGCTCGATATTTGAGGACCAGTGGCACCAAACTATCATTAATAATTATGTGTTTTTATTTTATAATTTAAATTCATATTTTTTAATAACTTAATTGTATATATATATATATATATATATATATATATATATATATATATTATATATATATATATATATATATATATATATATATATATATAATATATATTATATTATATATACCTAATGGGTTCCGGGCTCAATATTTTGAGGCCGCAGTGGCACCAAACTATCATTAATAATTATGTGTTTTTTTTTATAATTTTAAATTCATATTTTTTAATAACTAATTGTAAAATTATAATGTATAACATATATATACATATACATACATAATATATATACATATATATACATATACATACATACATATAATACATATACTATATATATATATATATAATATAATATTATACTATGGTTCATGTCCGATATTTGAGGACAGTGGGCACCAAACTATCATTAATAATTATGTGTTTTTATTTTAATAATTTAAATTCATATTTTTTAATAACTTAATTGTATAAATAATATATATATATATATATATATATATTATATATATATATTATATATATATATATATATATATATATATATTAATATATCACCTATGGTTTCGGGCTGATATTTTGAGGCTCTGTGGCACAAATATCATTAATAATTATGTATTTTTTATAATTTAAATTAATATTTTTTAATAACTTAATTCAAAATACTAATTTATGTGTGGTTGATACATTTATTGACTTAATTGTACAAAGTTTTTGCATGTTAAACTACCAGTATAAGATACTTAAACAAAAGGAATTCTAAGCTAAATACTACACATTAACTACGCTACAAGGTCTAAATTGTTACTACGCTAAAAGGGTCTACGTTTACTACGCTAAAAGGTCTAGATTTTTTACTACGCTAAAAAATAATCTAAAATAAAATATAACAACAAAATTTTAAATTGCAAATAAAACACAAATGGCATGAAAACACATATATATAAATGAGGATATTAACAGACAATTTATTTGACAAATTATATTTTTTAATAAAACACTAAAATTAAATCCGGATAAATTTAAATGCTAGTTTCGGAAAAAAAACACAAACCGAAATTAGAACACATACAAATCAAGATTATTATAAAAGTTTCAACTTAAAATAAATCGAAATACCTCGATTTAGAATTTTCGGAAAGCAAATAGATCGAAATTTTGACTCCGAAGTGTGAATCAACAATAACACGAAGCTCTACTCGAATGTGGGACCTACGTTCTTCAAGTTTTATGTGCCGGGGGGACCCAAAAATTTTTTTTTTTTTAAGAAGGTGGGCAGTAGCGGGTATGGGGGGACCAAGAAGAGAAGGACGAGTAAAATAATGGAGTTCTGAAGCAGAAACGATGAAGAAGACGGATGAAATTTTAAAAAGGGGTATAGCGCCAGGTATTATGGCGTTATACCTGCGCCGTGTCAGCTTTTTCTGTATAGCGCCAGGTATTGTGGCGTTATACATAAAAATGTAACTTTTTTTTTCCCACCTATTTGTGTACTTTGAGTCCAAAAGAACCACATTTTTTCCCACCTATTTATATATNATATATATATATATATATATATATATATATATATATATATATATATATATATATATATATATATATATATAACATTTGACCTCAGTTCTCCAAAACTGAGGAGGAAAAGAAGTACCGGTCATTGAAACTAGATAAAAGCACTCACAAGTATTACTTAAAAGGTTTTAGGTTCCAAGAGGCTACATAAAGAGAATTTGACCGATCGTCAAATGTCATAATTTTGGGTGCCAAGTATCTGTTTCAGAAAAATGGAAATAGTGTTGTTGGCACATTAATTGTCAAGAATGTTTTCTTGGAGGATATAAGCAAGTCCATCGTCATTTAAACAAATAAGCATCGAGTGACATTTGCGAAGTTATGTAGATTGTATTCTCTTGCATTCTGTTTATTTAATTTTCTCTACATCTCGTTGTGATTTGAGGGTGATGGAAGTGAGTTTAACCTAGATCATCAGATCTACAAAGCTGGTGATGTTAGCCCAGATCTATCTCAGGCCCAAGATGACAAAGGAAAATAACAGGATGACAAAGGAAAACAACCGGCCCATTAAAAGAGCCGGCCCAATTCTCTTTATTGTATCCATTGTATCATAGACTAGAGATTTTTCTTTGTGGTTTTGGAGTCCAATTAATAAGATGTATATACAGGCCCACACGGATGGAAAAAGACAGATTGGTCAAAAATGAAATGGACCGACTCATTTTCTTTCTCGATTCTTCCTTCTTCCTCTCTCATCATCTGTAACTGATTTCTCCATGAATTCTCCATAGCTATTACATGGATCAGATTAACATGGTATCAGAGCAGGAATCTCGATTCCTGTAGATATAGGATCTACTATGATAGTATGTCCTTCAAAACACTGTCAATTTTGGTACCCGTTTGATTTTCGCAATGGATCCGGAGATCTTCGATTTAGTCGATGAAAATTTGGGATTTCTTCATTTCTGACTCCGGACGGCTTGTTGAGACATAAGTTTTCATTTGCTCGAAGTTTTGTGGAGTTTCCGTGGCTCAAATGAATTCTAGGGTTTGTGTGTTCAGGAGACCTTACTTCTTCGGGTTCTAGAAGAAGGCTAGTAACATTCTTCTAGTCTACTTCCTTCGAATTACTGTAGATTTTACCTTGCATACAACCAGTGGTCTGTCGACATATGATTTCCTTAAAATTTTAGAGTAAATCTGATCGTTTCTATAGATTCTGCTATTGCTGTATTCTGTACTATGGGTAGTTTAGAGGATAACGCTCAATCTTCGAGTACTACACACGGTTTTGTTCCATTTACCCTAGATCCCTCGCATCCCTTCTATATCCATCCATCTGATAATCCTGGTAGTCAATTAGTGTCGGTACGGTTCAATGGGTGTGGTTTTGCTCTTTGGCGTAGTAGTATGCTTACTTCTCTTTCTGCAAAGAATAAGCTCAGTATGTTGGATAGGAGAGTTCCACAACCCTCTCCTGAATCACCTTATTTCCCATATTGGGAACGATGTAATGATATGGTCAAAGCCTGGATAACGAATTATGTATCCAGAGAGATAGTCACCGGTGTTATGTGTTTTAAGACTGCCAAGGAAGTTTGGAAAGATATTAATGAGAGATTTGGCCAGTCGAATGGGTCTAAGTACATCCAAATCCAGAGGGACATCAGCTCAACTACTCAGGGTTCATCTGATATAGCCTCCTACTTCACAAAAATGAGGAGTTTATGGGATGAATTAAACTCCTCCTATGTAGGGCCTGTTTGCTCATGTGGGGCTCTACCAAGTTCATTGAAGATCAACAATTGTTTCAGTTTCTTAATGGTCTGAATAATTCCTATTCCACAGTTAAAAATGCCATTATGTTGATGAACCCACTTCCACCCATCAGTAAAGCCTATTCTCTTCTGCAACAAGATGAAAGCCAAAAAGAAGCCCAATCTCCTGCACCAAATTTCTCTGGTGATACAGCCTCTTTCCTAGTATCTCCTGCATCTTCCAACACTAATAGGAATTTTACTCAGAAAATCAACTTTGAGACTAGAAAGGGTACTACATCTCTTACTTGCAAGTATTGTAAGAAACCGGGTCACAGTGTGAATAAATATTACAAACTCCATGGTTTTCCGCCAGACTTCAAATTTACCAGAAACAAAAAGTTTGCTTCATGTGTTCAAGCTGAGAATGCAACTATTACCCTTACAAACTCTCTTCCACAGACTTCTAGCTCCTCAGCACATGGATTCACCAAGGAACAATACCAACATCTTCTGACAATGTTTCAACAAGCACAAATGGCAGTTGGTCACACTTCTGAAGCTGCAACTGTGGACAACTCTGCCTTTGCTCACTTTGCAGGTTTGTTTAGTAGATATGCTGTAGCTTCTGTTGATTCTCATACATGTGCATCATCACAATTAGGTGTAAACCCTTGGATTCTAGATACTGGTGCAACTAATCACATGACACCATATAAGCACCTTCTATTCAATGTACAACCTTTGATTAAACCTTTTCTAGTAACTCTACCTAATGGATATAAAGCTAAAGTTATATCAACTGCATTGCATCTTAGGAATGATATAATTTTACTGAATGTCCTTCTTGTGCTATCTTTCCATTTTAATTTGATATCTGTTCATCAACTTATATCTCAATAGGATTTCTCAGCACTCTTTACCAAATTATTCTGTTCTTTACAGGGCCCTTCTCTGAAGAGGCCACTGGAAATTGGTAGAGCTGCTGGCAGGCTCTACTATCTCTATCCAGATGCAGATCTATTCCCTACTTCCTCCAATTCTATGTCTCATTGTTCTCCTTGTAATAGTTTACCTGTTTCTAATTCTGATACTAGTGTTTCTACTTGTAATAACTCTTCTACACTTGTTTCTTTACCAGTATGTTCTGATAAGTCCAATCAACTTGCTCATCCTGTTGTCAATGTTTCAACTTGTAATCTGCCATCTTCTATCAATAAAATGGACTTATTTTGGCACCAAAGACTAGGGCACATACCTTTTAATAGAATGATATCTATATCTTATTTGTCTGATAAAGTGTCACCTAAACAGTCTTTTTTATGCCCTATATGCCCAATGGCCAGACAACAGAGATTACCTTTCCCTGATAGTGTTATAAACTCCTCTACTCCTTTAAGTTAATTCATATTGACATTTGGGGTCCATATAACACTAAAATATATAATGGGTTCAGATACTTTCTAACACTAGTTGATGATTATACAAGAGTCACTTGGACTCATCTTTTATCATTTAAGAGCAATGTCTTACCTATTCTTAAAGCATTTGTCAACATGGTTAAGGTACAATTCCAGTCATCTGTTCAAGCTTTTAGATCTGATAATGCTTTTGAACTTGGTAGTAGTTCTGAGGCCATTATTTTTTTCTCTAGCCAAGGAATCATACATCAAACCACTATACCTCACACTCCTCAACAGAATGGAGTTGTGGAAAAAAACACAAACATCTATTAGAAGTTTCTAGGGCCCTCATGTTCCAATCTAACCTTCCTCTCAAATATTGGGGTGATTGTGTGTTGACTGCAACCTACCTCATAAACAGAATGCCCTCAGCTGTTCTTCAGAATGTTTCTCCTTATGAGAAACTTCATCACACTACTCTAACTTATGATCATCTAAAATCCTTTGGTTGCCTATGTTTTGCTACCTCTCCTAAAGTTGGAAGGGATAAATTTCAATCCAGGTCCATCATTTCTATTTTTCTGGGATATCCATGTGGTAAAAAGGGATATAAGCTTCTCAACCTTGACAATCATGCCATATTTTTCTCAAGAGATGTAGTTTTTCATGAGCATGTTTTCCCTTATAAATCTTCTTCCCCTTCTCTGTTTCCTTCTCCCTCAAACTATGTGGATCCTGTTTCTCCACAAAGTTTTGTCCCTGCTCATAATTCTCCCAACATTCCTGGTTCTCCTCGCACCTCTCCTCTCCCTACTACTGTCAGTTCTTCTGACACTTCACTTCCTGATTCCATTAGTCCCACTTCTATTTCTCCAATTGACTCTACACATCCTTCTTCTCCTCCTCCTTTGAGGAAATCTACCAGAACTATACAACAGCCCACTTACCTTAAAGATTATGTCTGTTCTTCTGTTCAACTCCCTGATCCTACCATCTCCTTATCCAAGGTTTCCTCTAGTGATATACGTGTGCATGAGCCTCAGTTCTACCAGCAGGCTGCTTCACAACCTGCTTGGCAAGAGGTAATGCTAAAGGAATTTCAGGCACTTGAGGCGAACCAGACTTGGGATATAGTACCTCTCCCACCTCACAAGAAGGCCATCCCTTGTAAGTGGGTATATAAGATTAAACACAGAGCTGATGGCACCATTGAAAGGTATAAAGCCAGGTTGGTAATTAGAGGAGACACACAAAAGGAAGGCATTGATTTTACTGAAACTTTCTCTCCTGTTGTCAAGTTCACCACCATCAAATGTTTACTCACTCTTGCTGTCAAGTGGGGGTGGACTGTCTTCCAACTTGATGTCAACAATGCTTTCCTCCATGGTGATCTCAATGCGGAGGTTTATATGAAGGTTCCCCTTGGTCTTGAGGTGTGTCCTTCTCCTGATTCTGGTCTTTCTGGTCCCTTAGTGTGCAGACTCAAGAAGTCCCTTTATGGCCTTAGGCAGGCATCCAGGCAGTGGTTTTCCAAACTGTCTGAAGCTCTGCATTCCAAAGGCTACATTCCTAGCTTGAATGACTACTCTCTCTTCACTAAGTTTTCTTCAGGTTCTCAAGTTGTCTTAGCTATCTACGTTGATGATATTCTACTAGCTGGTAATGATGTTGTGGAGATGGAGTCTTTAAAATCATTTCTGGATGCACAATTCAAAATAAAGGACCTGGGGTCAGTCCACTACTTCTTAGGTTTGGAGATATCTTCACATCCTCAAGGTTACATTATGAGTCAACACAAGTTCACTAGTGATCTTCTCTCTGAATTTAATTGCCAACACTTTTCCCCTGTAATGACTCCCTTGGATCCATCTGTTAAACTTGCCTTAAACATGGATGCTCCTGTTTCTGATCCAAGCTTATACAGAAGATTAGTTGGGAAGCTCAATTTCCTTCAGCACACTAGGCCTGATATTTCTTTCTCAGTCCAACATCTGAGTCAATTCCTCCAGAAGCCACAGGTGCCTCATATGCTGGCTGCTATACGTGTACTCAGGTATTTGTTAATGAGCTTGCTCAAGGTATTCTCCTCTCCAGCTCTTCTGATTTTTCCTTGCAAGCCTACTCTGATTCTGATTGGGCAGCTTGCTCTGTCTCTCGCAAATCAGTGACTGGATATTACATCACTCTTGGAGGTAGTCCTGTTTCTTGAAAAAGCAAGAAACAGCCCACTATATCCCTTTCTTCAGCAGAAGCCGAGTACAGGGCCCTTCGCAAAGTTACAGCTGAAGTCACTTGGCTAACTAGGCTTTTGGGTGACCTTGGTTTGACTGTTCCAGGCCCTGTTCCCATATTTTGTGACAGACAGGCAGCTTTACACATTGCTAAAAATCCGTTTTTCCATGAACGCACGAAGCACATCGAAATTGATTGTCATTATGTGCGCACCTGCTTGTCTTCTGGTTTGATCTCCTTGCAGTATGTCTCCAGTACTCAACAACTTGCTGATATTATGACCAAGGCCCTTCCTGGTCCTCTCCACCGTGGGATTTTGTGCAAGCTTGGTGTGTTCTCACCCTCCAGCTTGAGGGAGGGTGTTAGCCCAGATCTGTCTCAGGCCCAAGATGACAAAGGAAAACAACAGGATGACAAAGACAAACAACCGGCCCATTAAGAGAGCCGACCCAGTTCTCTTTATTGTATCCGTTGTATCATATACTAGAGATTTTTCTTTATGGTTTTGGAGTCCAATTAATAAGATGTATATACAACACGGATGGAAAAAGACAGATTGGTCAAAAATGAAATGGACCGACTCATTTTCTTTCTCGATTCTTCCTTCTTCTTCTCCCATCATCTGTAACTGATTTCTCCATGAATTCTCCATAGCTATTACATGGTTCAGATTAACAGTTCTTGATTTGTATCCTTTCGATGCCTTCAAAAGTTTCATGTGGTCTAAATCACGTTCATTTCTTGTGAGTCGTTTCAAAATTATTCCTTGCATGGTTTAGATGATTCGCCAATCATTTTATAATTCGAACTTCCAAGGAGGAGTTTGAAACAACTAAATTTCGCTTCTGAAAAATAAATAATCAAGACAAGAAAAATAGTAATAACAAATAAATAATATTTATATTCAATAAATTATGAAGGTTACAATCTTTAGAGAATCTTAAATTAAAAGATGTACTACTCTGATTCTTTTCTTCACGACCTTCAACTTTAAGGGCTTGCCTACTTGATCTTGAATTTAATTTATGGACTTATAAACTTCTTGGTTGAATTTAACCACGAGCTTTAATCACAATTAATGCGGAGGTATGATAAGACTTCTTAATTACCACCATATGGGAAATATGCGGAAGACTTATGGATCACCACGGTAAAGTAATTAAGGTTTCTCGATATAAATTGGACGTTAGACATAGTAGAAGGTCTGTATTGGTTTATTCTTAAGGAAAATGCTTGTCATTTTGGAAATACTAGAGTTACGTGAAATAACGTTCTCTTTTTCCACATTACTAGTGTGTTCTAGCTAGAAGTTTTATTTACTGGAGCTTAAATACTACACCCATTTATTTTTCCTAAAATCTGATGAGAATGGGCTGATCTTTTCTCTATTTAAAATATATTGATTGGTGTCTATTTGGAGATTCTATGGAGAAGTATAATGTTTGTATGCAATGAAAATATAGCGGAGAAGACGGGAGAGATGGGAAAAATAAAAAATGCAAGAGTGACCCGTACAAATGTATTAGCTTTAGTATTATTAATTTTTTATTTGGTAGTATTTTTTAACCTATATATAATTAATACTTGTATTAGTTATACACCCTATTCATTACTATTCTTATACATAGCAAACAATAGCATAAATATTACCATAATTTTTAATACACCCTACCAAACAACCCCTTAAAGTGCTCCCAAAAGAGGACAAAACTTGACTAAAACAAATAGTGGTACGCATATTTTTTGAACTTGGTTTCCTATATATATATATATNATATATATATATATATATATATATATATATATATATATATATATATATATATATATATATATATATACTAGTCTTATGATACGCGCGTTGCGCGTGTACCTATCTAAATGAATAAAAACTTTATATAAATATTATATTTGAATTATAAAATAGAGTGTTAATTCCTGAAAAATATTTAAACATTTAATTGTCATTATATTTTTATTCACTACGAAATTTTTTTTTTCAAATAGTAAAAAATCTAATAGGTGAAGAATCATCCATGCGGGACATGTTCCAAAAGAAGGGCAAAAGAATTCTTTGTAAATCTTAAAGAATTAAGAATCACTAAATACCATTAATAAAATCCAAAATTGAAATGCTCTTTTAGAAGCCACATAGCTAATGTCAAAGTTTATTATTGATTTCTACTCACCACTCCGAGTAATTGCAATTTGTTAATATAAAACTTTTAAAAGCTAAAAATATAATATACTTTAGAATACTATTATTAGTGAAACGGTCTTGTATATTTTAAATTTTTTTAATATAGAATTATTTTAATATAAATCAAAACATTTACAAGTTTATACAAAGACTTGAACCACCTCCATCATTATCCAAAACCCCGTACTTCCTCTTTCTTTAATCTTTTTAATTTTCTTCTTGATTTACTTAATTTATAATTTATAAAAATTTAAGAGTAAAAATTATATATAAGATAAAAATTTAATAATTTTAAAGTCCTAACAATTAAAATTTGCAATATAGTTTGAATAAGGAAAGATTTAATATACAATTTCAAACTCTTAAAAATAAAAAATAAAATTATTAAATAACTATTTTAAATATTAAGAAAATTGTTAAGTAACTATTTTATCCAACTTTGTGCATGTACATCTATTAATGAGTATATAATTTTAAATAATAATATAAATATTATTAAATAATACGTTTAAGTTATAAAAAATTATAAAATATATATTTTTTTAAAAACTAATGTTGATCTCATCTAGCTAGCTTAATAAAGAAAGAAATCTTGTCCCCTGAAGTCCTCATATGCCTTATTGTGATTTTGGATGAGTTATGAGGGAATATGGAACGTGTTGTTATTTTTATGATCTAATATTAAATAACGAATACAAAATATTTTTATCACAATTCATTAAAGAGTTATTTGAATAAAACATAAAAGTACAAATAATGCATCATATTACGTTTTCCAACATTGCTGTCCAAGTGCGATTTTAAGTAAATCGAAAATTGAAAAGAAACTAAAGTCGGGTGCATATTACAACTACACAAACACAGGCTAAAATATACCAGCAAAGAAAACAAGAATGAAATATTTTAACAATAGTAATTTCAATTTTTTTTCACACCGATACTCACATTAGGTCTTGATTAAATTTGGATTAGCACCGAAAAATCTTATATTGAGGGATAACGCGCTTCCAAAAAGGCTACTCTACACCCATCAATGCTTCCATATTAATATGGCAACCTATAGCTCCCATATTAGTATGGCAACCTATAGCTCCCAACATACTCCGGGCAAACAACATTCACCAAATAAGATAATCAAAAGTTAATAATCAACTAAGCTTTCTTGTAGAGAAAATAACGTGCTTATTCGTCTCAATTCAAGGATATTAATATGTCTATTAAGTGAACTTAAACGGAATCTTACCTATCATCATTAATTTTCCTTAATCTTTTGAAAGTATTGTTGTGTATAAAATCGAAAACTAAAGCAAACAATATTAAATAAGAAAGAAACAAATAGCTGGAGAATATTAAAGAACAGGAAAAGAATCCGGATGCATTCAAGTATTATACCAAACTAAAGTTATAAGATGTAGTGTTTGATAAAAACAAAAAATAAGAACCAAAGGTCATGAGTGAAATTCTGTCCGATTATTCCTTTATATATACACTTAGATTAATAATTTGGTGGTTCAAGTAAAGTAAGGAATAATTTATATATGGTAAATCCTAATTGATTTTAATGTCTCAACTATTAGGAGTAGTTCAAATAAGAAAAATATAATACATAATATTGTAGTTGATTTAAAATTCCTAAATATTAGGAAAAAAATTAAAATTACAATTTTGTCCAATGTTAAATGTAAATTTGAAGGTTAAAAAAGGCGAACGACATTTCGCTAAATGCCTTTGTGCTTTTAATATAGTATAGATAGACATAGTTAGATAGATAGATATAGATATATATAAGGTATATAATTTACAAGAAATTGCCTGAGATAAATATTTAAAAAAAATAGGTCCGGCCCACTTAGGCCCGGGACCGGCCCACTTAGCCTGGGACCATTAGTTAGTGGTCCCGGTCCCGGACCGATTCCTACCAAAAAGCCCACGAAGCTCAGAACCACTTAGGACCGGCCCACTTAGGACCGGCCCACGAGGCCCATTTAGGCACAGGGCCGACCCACATTACACCCCTATATCTAATGGACCTATTGGAGGAAACGGTATACCGCAGGGGAGCCCATCCTTTAAATAAAAAACCATCCTTTAAAAAAACCCATCCTTTAAAAGAAATCCGTCCTTTTCAAAAACCCCTTCTTTACTAAGTATTAAAAAGATTCACAGTTGACCTACAAGATATAGGAATCCCTCTCCCCCTCCTGAGATCTGATGAAAAAATTGGGTCAATTTTCATGTTTTGCAGGGAATTGCTGGTTCCCACGTCTAAATGTAGGACTGATGACCGTAGACCCTTTTGTTGAGGGGGGGTGGTGATGTTTATGTGGTGCAATCTTTAAGTGAGCCCATAAGCCAAAAGCAGCTTATGCACTGGTTACCTGTCCTGCAACCTCGCAACTGGTTACCTGTCCTGTAACGCAAGTGATAACTCCATCAGCACGAGCAATTACTTTAGCCAAAAAATTTATAATGGATCACACCACATAGTTCCTTATTTTGGGCTTGATGAGGAGTTATCCACTACAAATTTTTTGGTTAAAGTAATTGTTTGTGCTGATGGAGTTATCACTTGTGAGGTTGCAGGACAGGTAACTGGTATTTTCCTTTTATCAAAAAAAAAAAGAAGCACCAATCGTTAGTTTTGTTTGCTGACTTGTGATCTCCTCCTTTGTGTTTTGCAAAATCAGAAGCTGATGGTGGATTACCTTGCCTATAAGGGTATACGTGTTCCCTCTCCCTTTACCTCTAGTGATATGTTTGTTCCCTTATATGTTAAGAAGAGACATTTGTTTTTTGAGCTTTTTTCCTGTTTACAGAGCTTCCCCTAAGATAGAGACCCCGCCAATATCAACCACTAATTTAATCTCCTTATTAATCATTTGTTGAGTAACTTCAGTACTTGGTCCAAAGCTTGAACCAGCCACTTTATATTCAGAATTAAATTCAGTGAAATTGGGACTGTTGAGTACTCTTCCTTTGTTGGATTTTTTCACCTCCTTACTCTGCTGTGAACCATTCAGTTGAGCTGAGGCTTCATGTTCAAAGGCATGCTGGTCTTTATTAGCACTATTAGCTGTTTCAGCAGTCACAGTTAATTGATTATGGTGCACATTTGCATTGCTGCTAGATTATGTGACTTCATGAGTATTTGTAGGTGAATCTGCTTCTAAATTGTCTTGTTATGGTTAATGATTGTTCACAGAGACTATTGCTAGAGGAGCTGATTTCTTACGACTGGAGGGGGCTCGGGAAGTGTATGCTTGTAGTCCATATGGTATTTTTAGGTACTTTTGCTTTACATGTGTTTGGAACTCTGGGCTAGTTTAGCTTTTTGCTGATTTTGACCAAAATATTTTCTTTTTACAGCTCTCCGGCGATTCAATGGAGTGTTTAATGAGGTCATCGTCACGGATACCATCCCGGTGGTTGATAAGCATTTTACCCAGTTCTGTTTTACCTATGGCAGAGGTGTTGGGAAAGCAATTTTGGACCTACACAAGGAGTTCAGAGTAAGTGGCAAGAACACCTCTCATTCCCCCTTTTCTCGTTAAAATTCCTTAAACCTCATCTCACTATCTAACTTGTGTTTCAAGGTGACAGGTAGATTGTCCATCGGAGCAAGAACACCCCTTGTTGATATGAAGGACTATGTTTTGTTTTGGTATTGTAATAGATTGCATCTAGACTTTGTTTTTCGTTTGTTTGGTATTATGTTCTTTTTGGTGTTGTTGCACTAAGACTTTATTTCCTTTTGTCTCTGTCACTTCTAGTCACCGGACATATGGTGTACAATCCCCTTGACAATTTTAAAGTTGTTTTAGTTAGTATTTTGGAGCATTGTTTTAGTATTTTATTTTAGTTAGTGGCTTCAACATTTTATTGGGGAAGCTCGCTAATCCGCTTTGAAATCAACTATAGCATTTAGAAGCTAATGTTTACCCAAAGTCGATTGGGAATTTGCTAGTTGAAACACTTGATCAGATTGCATCAGGGCAGCCTTCAGGTTTGAATGCGATAGCCTTTGATGCTCTTACTCATCCTTGTTTAGAAGGACATGTGCCAATGGTCACTACCATCTCAAAGGTTCTTTCCCAACTTCTGATGCATCTAAACTGCTTTGGAGAGAAGAGGTGGAGAGGTTGGAAGCAATAGAAAAACATGGAGCAGTTGAAGGACAAGGTTGTGGTTTCTAAAGCTTTAGGTTCACACAACTCTTGCTAGTAATACTTCTACCTGGTGGTGCTATATTGAGCGATGAAAATAATACTACGTATTTTACTAGAGCATGATGTGTCAATTGTAAAAGGAATTAATGTTCTTCATTTGCAAGGGAAAGATATAAAGTAACACATACTAATTCTACTCATGTTGCAATTTGGAGCAACGGCGGTGCACATAGTGTGAAAGATGTTCTGCCACTAATTGTACAGATCCTAATCCACGAGTGATGAAATTCAGCCCTTATAAAAACACTACAATTAGTGCTAATCCAATCCAAGTCAAGATATCCTATACTGGGTGAGAATAACTTGTTGCAGCCTCACATGAAAATTAATAATAATGCTTCAGTTTCTTTTTTTCTTTCTTTTTTTTTTTGGGTAAATAAATGCTTCAGTTTTAAGTCAAAGTTGAGTTCAAAATTGGAGCTTAAGCCTTCAGGAGTGGCAGTCACACTCACACATAACTCTCAAATAGCAAACTACGCTCCTCTTTCACTCGTTTTTCTATTATGCATAGACTTGGATCAAATGTTTATTGAAGTCGAACTTTGTTAAAGAAAAAACATATACATCATAGGCCTATGATTCTACTCCAAATGGGAGAAGTGCAGCAGCCACAATCCTTCCTTCTTCATTTAAAATGTTATAAGTTGATGCTGCATTTCTCCGCAACACAGATGAAGGAATGTAAGCAACATAAAATGGATGACAGAAAGAAGATCAAGCTCTGATCAACAAATATGTGCAACAAAACATGATTTATGTTTGTAAACAACCAGATTGCAATTTGCTTTTTCATGTGAGTAGCCTGATATCACTCCACCAAAACATGTATGATTCAGTTATGGGTTCATTGTGTCTATTAAGAAGCACCTAACCAGTTTATTTTGTAAAGAACCACATGATTCGGAGATAATATGTTTCAATCATTGCATTGAAATTTCAGAAAAGAATGAGAAAGAGAAAAGCCACTTTCAAAACATTGGCTGATAATTTGAAATGTTTATGCTACCATAATACTCGATTCAGAAATTAACTAACCAATAAGAAAAGCATTAAGCAAGTTAAATGTCACTGTTCTGGCACTGCTTTGCTGGCTGGCTAATCTACTTGTTTTTAAACTCCTTTCAGGAATATCAAAGAGATCCACATGTTTCCATCTTCCAATAATAGTTTTTGACAAAAACTTCCAGAGACGTTGAGTACATGGTGGGGTATGATGCAGTAACCAAGAATAAATCGTGCTCAGAACTTCTATGGCTACCCATCTCATCTATCAGACATGATCTCATAACTACTGAAATAGTTGTGCATAAACGATAATATAGCCCCTTCCTTTCTTCTTCATTAAAAAACACAGAACCATATACTTACAGAATCAACTGCTTCTAATTTCATTCCAGTAGAACTAATAAAGGCACGAAGCTCAGGATTTACTGTTTGAATGTACCTCCCGCAGCCAAGAAGCAGAATCTCTGCAATGAAGTTATATTAGGAACAAAGACAAAGAAGAAGCTGTAGTATAAAATTAAGAAGATAATCATTCCTCAACGAAACTCATTGGGTTAAATACTAATCAAAATGGACTTCAGATTCCTGTAGAATTCATAAGTACAACTAAGCAAATTTCAAATACAAGTTAAGGATTTTCTCCAAGGTCAAACAAATTAGTGCATCATGTGTTAAATAACATTTTCCAATGACAAAGAAAATCAAGTAATAGACTTAGGCAAAAAACCAGACAACCTCAACTGCAAGATATTGGGAAAGAGTCAATCTACATTGAACGCCATACTTTTCCCTCTATTGGCAATTGTAAATCAGATGGAGGAAAATATGGACACAGCATATTTTAAGAATAGCTAGAGCATACTTTATTCCAATCTATTTTACCTACTCTCTTTTCTAATCCATCCCAAGAATATTTAACTACCATGAATACTAACGGTTACTTCTCCAAGATCTTAAGTCAGTATAAAACACCCACACCTTTTGACTGCTTTAGCTTTCAAACACACCTTCCCAACACATTGAACTTGCACCTTTAACTGATTGATTAAAATTTAAAACCTTTAGCTACCTTGAATTACCAATTTGAGTTTTTCCCCTTGATTTCAAAGAATACTAGTACCAATATAGCTGACAAAGGAGTATAAACTTTCCAGAGATGATCTGTATCAAATAAGAAAGATTTGCTTATTGATGGCACATAGAGTAGAGCCAAAAGAACCCAACCAAAGCAAAGTAGCAAATCCATTTCAAGCAGGAAACTGCACCAAACAGATTTGCAGCAATCTTATAGTGTGATGTGTACATCAGAACTGACACAAATTTGCATAATATTTCCCCTTTTTATGTGGAAGAAGAAATGAAATGAAGCTGAGTACCACTGATAGACTTCCAAAACATTTCAATCAATGCTGCTAGCTTGAAAGGAAAATGGGTTAAAGAACTTTTAAAACATCAAAAATAAGATAAACTTGCTTGGTCTCTGCAAGAAAAGGAACAAGCAATGAGACATGGAAGGACCAAAGGAATGGGCACCCGAACTATGTTGCACATGAACATGAAGGTAGGTGCAGAGAAAGTGAGAACCATCAGTTGAACATTGCACTCTTCAAACAGACCAATTGCTACTCACCTCGAACTGGTCGCACAACCTAGAAGATAGATAAGCGCATGAAGCCACATACCAAAGGCACGTCAAATGTGACTATATAACCAAATTGAAAAAGGAAACATTGGTTTCTTTTGAGGGAAAAAAGGCTACCCATAAGTGAAGTCCATGCATATAACGAAAGTGTTGGACCTTGTGACAAAGCAAAAAGTCTGAACAAATGTGATATAAGGGTTCCGGTCCTTCTCGACAATGTACTACTCCCTTTAACCCAAATTAGAATTTTCCAATGACATGGTTAAGCTATACAAAGTTTGTCTCTTATATGGTTTACTATCCATCAGAAGAGCATATGGAGATACGACTAACTTTTTAGCTTTGCAGACATAAAAGAGGAAATAGTTACATATGATATGGTAAAAGTTGGGACCATATAACTGTTGTTCTTGTGTGACATATGATAGAACTTCCTTTTTTAAGAAATTGGACATAACAACATCGAGCAAAAAGAGGCATACAACTTGGAAGAGTGGACATTCTTTCACTCTGCTGTCATTTTTGGTCTTCCACTGAGCTGGTGGGTATCTGCATCCTTAACTTCGCTTGAGCACAAGCTAAACCATACTGAACCAGTTCGATTGGCTAGGCTAGTCCAATCCAAATCTACAATCAGTATTTCCATGTCTATCAACTTCAAATACGTTTCTATAATGGAAGGTACCAGATTTCGCTGTCCAATGAGGAGCAAAGGTAAGTACCTTTACCTCTGAAAATTTCTTGACATGTCAAGCTATTAGCAAGTTCCCAAAACAAAGCAAGCTACCTTCATAATGCACCCCATTAACTTTGAAGCTGGTGTCAGTAAACCTACAATGAGCCCAAAAAAAGAAACTACCAAAATAACATTCAATATATGCATCAGGTAGTCAAACATATCCAGATATCTTGAAGTTTAAGAAAAAACACCACAAGTTAGCTTTTAATAAAGAGTGTTAAAACTTATACCAAAATTTGGACTGAGGCCATTTGTGCATCTTCTTAGGCTACCTGATTTGGATCATGATCAAAATTAAATTGAATCACTATTTTTCAGACATGGGCAATGCCCAGAAGAAACTCTTTTGGGCCTGGTATAAATCGTGGCACTGTGATCCAAATGAGCTAATTCCAACATCAATCAACATAGTTATAGAGGAGCTTGTGATGGAAAATCTACCAAATCACTATTCTAGATTAATTGCGAACAAATAATATTACATTCCAAAAAAGAGGTTAAGGAACTCGTCCACCCAAAAGGGCTATGAAGCTATAGATTAGCTTGACACAATTTAAGATGCAAAATACAAAAGTCCACAAGCCTAGTAACACTTAGCAAGATAGCCCCCTGAATTGTATAGCTTGATTTGTACTCCTTTGAAATATTATCCATAACCAGGCATTTCTGTTAAAAACCACATTTTTGAGTCGCCGAAGCCATAAAGAACATTTCAAGATTAGAAAATGTGAAGATTTACCATGTGGTATGGGTTGTTTGTACACTATTTATAAACGGCATGGGTGGCTTTCTACTTTTCACATATAATTTTCAGCCCAACAGCAATGCAGGGTTTGGGTGAACATTATTAGACTAGTGCTACAGAGCAATTGGATAGCAACTTCAACCTACTGTTTTCTTCCTCCGCCACCCCCATCCCTCTTTAAAATTTAGAGAAACCACTGTGTCCTTTATCAGTCTTCTTGCCTCTACACAAAAGCAATACCAGAGAGAGAGACCAATTCTTCGGGTTAGTTCGTTTTATTACAAATTTAAAAATAGCCATCAAGGGGAAGAAAAGAAAAGAGTAATAGGCTGTGTGAAGATGAAAGCTAATAGGAAAAAAAGGAAAATATATTTGATACAGAAAAGATTTTGATCCTTTGATTAAGCTAATTGTCAAAAGTACGGAGCAAAAATGAATATAACCTACTCCAGAAATAAAATATTGACATAAGCTATGTTGTTCGGACTCTTCGAAAATATTATCAGTTGCCTGTCGAATCTTCCAAATGAAGTGTAATCTTTTGGAGGATACGACGCAGACGTGACAGCATTTTAGAGAATTCGTGCAACATAACATTTGAACACAAATTCAGAAGGAAGAAAGGAATTAATTTTCTTTCAGTATAATTAGTGTTAGGAATTAATAGAGTTCTACAATAAAACTCGGGCTAGGGTAGCAAAAGCTAAAATTCACAATACTTTTGGCTTTGCTGAATTTAGCTCAATTAAAACTTCAGATATGACTAAGAAATGATCGCCTTTATAAAAGTTATTGTCCATATATATTCCCACATTTTTTGTTAAAATTTACTACAACTCACTGTGTGCAAAATCTCTCTCTAAGGTACAGGTCCTTGTGTTTCCCCCAAAACCCACAAGTCTACATAAATTACAGAAACAATGAAAATAATGGTCGATAGGCATATTCCTAAAGCCTATGATGACCCTTTTGTTTTAGAATTCGTTTCCGTGTTCTGAGGCCTTAAAAACCTCCTGTTATCTATTTTCGATTTGCGTGCGCAGTCCGAACGCGGTACCGGAAAGCTTTTGTGTGAAAAATTTAAGAAATAATGATTTTTGGCTTAAAAATATGATTTTAGTTGACTTCGATCAACATTTTGGGTAAACGGATCCGGACCCGTGTTCCGACGGTCCCGGAGGGTTCGTAGAAAACTATGGGACTTGGGCGTATGCTCGGAATCGAATTCTGAGGTCCCTAACCCGAGAAATGAATTTTTGAAGAAAATTGTTTGCTGGAAAATGTAAGGATTTTTGAAATGGAATAGTGTGTGATCTCGTTGGTATCGGGCCCATATTTTGGTTCCGGAGCCGGGTACAGGTTTGATATAATATTTAAGTCGTGTCTGTGAAATTTGGTGGAAAACGGAGGTGATTTGATGTAATTCGGACCTTTGGTTGAAAAGTTAGAAATTTTGAGCTATCTTGAAATTTCATGAGTTTTGATGTTGAATTCATAGTTCTAGATGTTATTTTGGCGATTTGATCTCACGAGCAAGTTCATATGATGTTTTAAGACTTGTGTGCATGTTTGGTTTGGAGCCCCGAGGGCTCGGGTGAGTTTTGGATAGGCTACAGAGTGATTTTTGAACTTAGGGAATTGCTGGTATGTTTCAGCTGTGTAGCAGGCCTTTGATCTCGCAATTGCGAGATCAGGCATCGCAATTGCGATGTAAGCAGTGACAACAAATGCGAGCTTTTGCTTTGCAAATGCGAAGAAGCCAGGGCCAGCTTTCCTCGCAAATGCGAAGGATGTCGAGGCAGGCCAGTAGTCGCAAATGTGACATAATTGTCGCAAATGCGAAGGCAACAGAAATTGCGAAGGTTCGCATTTGCGATGCCCTTCTCGCAATTGCGAGCTTCGCTAATGTGAAGCTCCAGTCGCAATTGCGACATCTGCATCAGTTAAGTTGGGACTTAGTCGGGATTTTGAACTCAATTCTCAAATTTTCGAACCCTAAACATCCCTAGGCGATTTTTCAAAGACCCAAACTTCTCCAAATCATAGGTAAGTGATTTCTAACTCATTTTCTTCAATCTATTTCATCTTTTTACATGATTTCATCTCAAAATCTAGGGTTTTTCATGGAAAATTGGGTGTTCTTGGATAGAATTTAGGAATTTCGAATTTGGGGGATTTGGACCTCAATTTGAGGTCGGATTCCGAAACCAATTGTATATCCGGGCTCGGAGGTGAATGGGTAATCGAGTTTTGGTCCGAATTTATTTTGACCAAGCGGGCCCGGGGTCGATTTTTGACTTTTTGGGGAAAATGTTGGGAAATCTATAATTGTGTATTGAAATTGGTTTCTTTAGCGTTTATAGATGTTATTAAGTTAATTATGGCTAGATACAAGTGAATTGGTGGTGGAATCGAGAGGTAAAGCGGTGATTGAGCTTTGAAATACCCTTTGGCTTGAGGTAAGTATTTGGTCTAACCTTGACTTGAGGGACTAGGGATCCCCGGCTTGCTTGCTGTGTGAAATATCATGTGTGTGGCGTATAGGTGTGGTGATGAGTACCTATGCGTCACCAAATTACTTGTTTAGCCCGTTTCCTTTCCCTGTTTCCCTATATCTTGCTTTCCTGATACTTCCGAATTCGATTCCGAGCATACGCCCAAGTCCCAAATCACGATACAGAGCTATCGGCACCGTCAAAACACTGATCCGAGTCCGTTTACACAAAACGTTGACCGTAGTTAACTCAAATGAGTTTTAAGGCACGATTTCACATTTTCATCAATTTTCTCATAAAACTTCCTGGAAAAGGACACGGACTGTGCACGCAAATCGAGAAAGAAAAAATGGAGCTATTCGAGGTCTCGAAACACAAAAATAAAGGGTAAAACTATAAATAACCTATCAGGTCATCACATTCTCCACCTCTAAAACAAAAGTTAGTCCTCAAACGAACATAGAGAGGTACATGTGCTGGTGAAAAGGTGTGGATATCTATTCCGCATGTCCAACTCGGACTCCCATGTAGATGCCTCAATCGGCTAACCTCTCCACTGCACTCGAGCTGTTGGATAACTCTTAGACCTCAACTGCCGGGCTAGAATAGCCACCGGTTCCTCCTCATAAGTCATATCCTTGTCTAATTGGACTGAGATGAAATATAACACATGGGACGGATCACCGTGATACTTCCGTAGCATAGGCACATGGAACACTGGGTGGACTACTGATAAACTAGGTGGAAATATAAGCCTGTAGGCCACCTCACCCACTCTCTCAAGAATCTCAAAGGGTCCGATATACCTAGGGCTCAGTTTGCCCTTCTTTTCAAACCTCATCACACCCTTTATGGGTGAAACCCGAAGCAATACCCTCTCTCCAACCATGAATGCAACATCACGAACTCTACGGTCGGCATAACTTTTCTGCCTAGAGTAAGCGGTGCGAAGTCGATTCTTAATAATCTTGACCTTATTCAAGGCATCCTGTACCAAATCGGTACCCAACAACTGAGCCTCCCCCGGCTCGAACCATCCAACTGGCGAACAACATGCCTCCCATATAATGCCTCATAGGGAGCCATCTGAATGCTCATTTGGTAGCTGTTGTTGTAGGCAAACCCCGCAAGCGGCATGAACTGATCCCAAGAACCCCCGAAATCCATAACTCAAGCGCGAAGAATATCCTCCAATATTTGAATAGTGTGCTCGGACTGTCCGTTAGTTTAGGGACGAAATGTTTTACTCAACTCAACCCGCGTACCTAACTCATGCTATACGGCCCTCCAGAAGTGCGAGGTGAACTGTGTACCTCAATCAGAAATGCTAGACATGGGCACACCGTGAAGATGAACGATCTCGCGGATGTAGATCTCAGCTAACCGCTCTAAAGAATAGGTAACTGCCACTGGAATGAAATGTGCCGACTTGGTCAACCTGTCCACAATGACCCATACCGCATTAAACTTCTTCTGAGTCAGTGGAATTCCAACAACAAAATCCATAGTGATACGCTCCCACTTCCACTCAGGAATCTCTAGCCTCTGAAGCAAGCCACCAGGCTCTGATGGCTTTACTTGCTGACAATTTAGACACCGAGATACATATGCAACCATATCCTTCTTCATCCTCCTCCACCAATAATGCTGCCGCAAGTCCTGATACATCTTGGTGGCACCCGGATGAATAGAATACCGAGAACTGTGGGCCTCCTCAAGAATCAACTCACGAAGCCTATCCACATTGGGCATACAAATACGACCCTGCATCCTCAAAACCCCATCATCTCCGATAGTAACCTGCTTGTAACCACCGTGCCTCACCGTGTCCTTAAGGACAAGAAAATGGAGATCATCGTATTGACGCTCTTTGATGCACTCATACAAGGAAGACCGAGCGACTGTGCAAGCTAGAACACGATTGGGCTCTGAAACATCTAACGTCACGAACTGATTGGCCAAAGCCTGAACATCTGCAGCAAGCAGCCTCTTACCAACTGGAATATACGCAAGGCTACCCATACTCATAGCCTTTCTACTCAAGGCATCGACCACCACATTGTCCTTCCCCGGGTGATACAAAATAGTGATATCATAGTCTTTCAACAACTCCAACCACCTCCTCTGCCTCAAGTGGAGATCCTTTTGCTTGAACAAATACTGTAGACTCCGATGATCCATGAATACCTCGCACGACACGCCAAAAAGATAGTGCCTCCAAATCTTTAACGCATGAACAATGGCTGCCAACTCTAAGTCATGAACATGGTAATTCTTCTCATGAACCTTCAACTGCCACGACGCGTATGCAATCACCTTGCCATCTTGCATCAATACTGTACCGAGCCCAATACGAGATGCATCATAATACATCGTGTAAGATCCTGAATCGATGGTCAACACCAACACTGGTGCCGCGGTCAAAGCATTCTTGAGCTTCTGAAAGCTCAACTCGCACTCGTCCGAACATCTTAATGGGGCACCCTTCTGGGTCAATATAGTCAATGGGGCTGCTATGGATGAAAACTCCCCCACGAACCGGTGATAATAACCCGCCAAACCTAGGAAAGTCTGGATCTCTGTAGTTAAAGTAGGGCTAGGCTAGTTTTGAATTGCCTCAATCTTCTTAGGATCCACCTTTATGCCCGCTGCCGATACAACATGCCCCAAAAAGGCAACCGAGTCTAACCGAAACTCACACTTTGAAAACTTGGCATATAATTGACTATCCCTCAAAGACTAAAGTATAATCCAAAGATGCTTCTCATGCTCCTATCGATTGCAGGAGTAGATTAAGATATCATCAATGAATACAATCATAAAAGAATCCAAATAGGGCTTGTACGCCCGGTTCATCAAATCCATGAATGTTGC